AAAAAAAAAATTTTTTTACATGCTGAATGTATACTACTTAAAATAGGGGGTCGCTGCTTCAATGAACATACGAATATTTACGCGCTATGTTGGAAGTTTCATGCTTATTTCAAACAGAATTTGAATGACATACAATTTGCAACTTTTATATACTCTTACTAATATGAGTAGATAATAGATGTTTTATAAAATATCCTCCGGAAAACAGCGATCAATAATTAACTAGAAATAACGAGCAGGTTTATTTGAAGAAGATAAGAATACCTAATATATTTTTGCATAGTAGTATAAGAAAAACAATTGTCACAGTTGTAAAAGTGACTACTAACAAGAAGTTTTATGTATTCCCATTTATAAATATAAACTCTGACTTTTATTTCATAGAGACTGAATTTCTGAAATGATTATTATCTATTCTATATTTCAGTTTTATGCTAAATGAAAATGAATCTACAATTGAAAATCATTTAACGCTAGAACAAATGACTAATTTATAATTTTTGTTAGAAGTTTTATAGATGTAAAACAGTGTATTTTTAGAGATTTAAATGACTTCTCGTAAAATGTATAAATAAAAGCTTGTGTATTCCATTGTAAAGTTTTTCTATTTTTTTTTTTTTTTTTTACTTTAATATCTCTGATGAAAATTTTGATCTCTCTCTCATCGATAGTTCTAGTGTTAAAAATCTGTGAACTTAATAAAATCGTAGACGTGTGTATATAGATCTTATGCAATATAGAATATATGAATTATGCAATAATTCAGACTTCCTGAAGAAAGTACATACTGTTCTGTAAGTTAGGCTGAACAACGACAGAGTGGACTAACTGTTTTCTACTTCCACTCAATGAAACACATGAATTAAACATAAATATCATTTCGTGTAATTACAATAGGATTCTTTCTTGTTTAAAAAGTCTTTATAAAAAGTTAATCCTAAATTAATAAATTGATTAAAGACTTTTTTCCAAAGACTATACACAGAACTGTAGAAAGCTGGTGAAACTTCACTTTGGCGGCACGAAGCACGTTCTTTCTCATCTATTAATACTGTCCTATTAAAAATATATATCTAAATAGTTTGAAGATGCTGTACAACTTTATCGATTAGCTTCCTAATATAACAAAATCTTTACAAAAGCCCTTTTCGAATTTTCATTGAATCAAAATAAATTCAGGTCATACATCTTTCAAACATATCAAGCACATTTTCTTATTAACATATACATAAGCATCACGTGCTGCTATATATTATAGTTTATAATGTGCCCTATATTAAGTATCTTAATCGTATTTCAACCGGATACTCGTTAACTAAAAGAATCGTATATATTTCCTCACATAGTGTGGATTCACTGATATCGCAAGTTATCACACGCTTGTCAATGAAATCAGAGAGACGTTGAGAACGAACGAGTATAAAACAATCTTGCACGCACGAAGGCCGGACCACGACTGCCGGCACTTTGGCCAATGATACACAGGAACCTAAGTATATGACCCTTTCTCAGAGGTATAACAGTGGCGCCGCAACCACCACCATCGGCTGAACAAGTCTACCCTCCTCCTATCGTCATTTTTCCATCACGGTCAGTGTTGCTATCCACCAGAACTCTCATTAGCCTTCTTCTACCCTCAGAGTATCATGGTCAGAGGTATTAAATTTTTTTGTCTGGATATCAATTGCTTGTCACATCCAAGAATGTGATGAAAAGTTTTTAATTGGTAAATATTTTATGATTTTCTTGCTTTAAAAAGAAAAAAAAAAATCCTCTTTTATTAATACTTGGATATTTTTAACTTCGATTCTCAATTTTTTTTCCTATACTTTCACGTTTGTTTGTATCAATACTTGAAACTTTTACGTTTCAATTTGTTATTCTATCTCTTTCTGCATTCATCTAGTTAATTTTCATTGATACAAAAAAAAAAGAAAACAATTGACCATATTACTATTCTTAGTTTAAAATTCTCTTAAATTTTCTTGCAATTAATTCTCAGTATTCTTTTAATTAGAGAATCAATTGAAGATTTCATCTTTGACCATTGAACCTCCAAATCCGTGTCTTTGACCTCCGCAGGCTAAAGATTCTACTTCTAATTCTCTGTCTCACTCATCTCTTCGAGCTTATCCTGGCCACAGACTTGTTGCAAACCTGTTGCTCCTCGTTGAATCGAATGATTCACCGTGCCAAATTCATTTGAACAGAGTGGATTAACAAGGAAAATCAGCCAGAATGAATGTTGCTGCCGAAGTTGCTTCTCGTATTCCATTGTGTATTATCTTTCTATTATATATAATAAAATATATAAACTGTATATCTTTCAAGTAAGAGACAATTATGACTCTTAATAAATTAATATAATATGAGGTTCAGCTTTAGATATTTATTTCCGTTTTAATTTACTTTCTGGAAAAAAAGAAAATAATAATTACAAAAAAATAAATAATTTCAAAAAAGAAAATAATAATTTCAAGAAATATCCGAAGGAAAATGATCACATCTATTTGCTATGAGTATCTAGCAATAATTTCAAAAAATAAAATAATCTAGGTCTAATCTCCAATCTATTGCAAACTGAAACGTATTAAGTAAATACTACTTTTACTCATACATATAAGTGCTTCAAGACAGAAGACTAGCTTCAGATAAATATTTCATACGTTAATGACCTAAGTAAATATTTGGATTATCTTCTCGTTGGAAATTTTAATATTGACTAAATTACTACTTTCTGGTTCTATGTAAATATCTTCAAGAAAAAGATATTTGTTATAAGAGGAATTAGTTTTTTGGAAATTTAAGGAGATCATTTCCATGTTCCTTAAACTAGTGCCAATTCGATATACGAAAAATAATCAATAATCATAAAAATAGCAGTTCGATAAAATCTGTCTTAACAATTAATGAGTCAGTAGTTATAAAGCATATAGTAGCAACTAGAAAAACTGCATACATCGAATGGTGATAACTATGTGAATCATGCCAGTTCTCAGATGCAAACAGATCGCGTAGCGACTAGTTGATAACACAACGAGCTGGGTGAATTGATTGTGCCGCGTGCGTGTAACACGCTTGAAACGATGACAAGGTAAAAAGTGGTCGTTTGCATTCGCGGCATACCGCAATTCAGTCGCGTGCTGGAATAGGGCCTGATCTTCGTTCACGAAGAGGCTTAGGATCACTGAAGAATGCAACTTCTATAACTGCTGCTGAAATTTTAGCATCCTTCGAAAATAATCTTCTTGGAGTTTTTTTGAATATTTACGATTAAAAAGGCGTTGGTTGACCACTTGTTATCGTGAATTAATTCTGTAGAGCATGTTTTTTGAAGATTTCTCTGCTCGATTCTCTCTGGAGGAAGAGGAAAGAGATATTTATCTTAAATCAAAGATAAAAAGTTAATCTTTCATATACAAGATTTTTAACATTAAACCTTTTAGACTTCTTCACTTTTAGATAAAGTCAAGATTGATCCAACAATTTCTAGATCACCGTGACCCGGTGGTCTAGTAGATAAATTGATAGAAGTTGCAATAAAATGTAAATTATTCAGGATGCGTGGTAATGAGAGGTATGAAACACATATGAGATACGAAGATCTTGTAAATTACGATACTCCGGTGATCCTCACGCAGACAAACTCCTTTGAAGGACGAGTACAAAAGAAGACTGCGACGCAGAGATGTAATTTACAACAGGTTTTCGTTCGTGGAAAAACATTAACGGGCATGACTGAAACGTACAGTCGTTCAGACATCAGATTGTATTCCGTAACATTAAGAACCATAATACTTTATCCTTTTCTGTTACGCTCCAGTCGATTTTGCGTTTAAAAGAAATGGATAGTAATTGCATATATATTCTGCGCATTATAATCGGATGCTTGATAATTAATCCCAATTCTTTGCAAATTGCAATACAGCAAAACGAAATTATTGTGCTGGAAGGTATGGATGATCTTGATATCTTGGTACGGATGATCATTTTCCCCACTTGATTCGTGTTGTGTTATTTTATTTCTTTTTTCAAAATTGTTGCGAAAAATAATGTTCTTTTAATAATATTCAGCTATTAATTCATTCTGCTGATAAATCTCATAAAGGGTGCTTATGACAATATAATTGATGAATATAATAAATCTAAATATTTAGATTTATATAGCTATACCATTCATTACATATTAAAAATATTGAAATTATTTAAATGTTTGTAATTTAACTAACTTTAAGTAATATAATATCAAACCTTTAAAATTGATAATAATGAATTACAGAATTACAGACGAACTTTTCTTTCCTTTTGTTTATTTACTGGAGTTGTCACCATTTATTTTGCTCTTGGTTTATCGTTTTCTCATTCTACGTTTATAGTGAAACTTTAAGAACTCGGACAGCACGAATCTGTAAAAGAAGTAATCAGCCTTACGCTATCTATAAATAGCATATGTGCGTTTATGCGAGTTAGCACCGAGTCTGAGAGGCTAGAACGTGAAAGGGAGAAGTCGGGGTACAGGTGTATTTCCCGTCGAATACGAATTGATTTGAAAAACATTATGCTTCAGCCGACAACCGGTTTCTACATTGATTGCGCCGCAAATTGTAATTTTATTGTCTGTATGCACTTGCCAATATTCCCCCTCTTTGTACTTGTCTGAAAAGTACTTTTTTCAAGTATTATTTGTTGTCAAACCTTTAATTTTTATAATTGAAAAATCTTCATACTGAAATAACATGATAGTAATAACATCGCATCCTTCTTAGAATGCTTCTTATGAAGATTTCAAAATAAAAATAGAAGATTTCCTGTTGACTAAGAGCAAAATATCTTTACAAAAAAATTCAAAGAAAAATTCATTGAATGCTATTGAATTTCCTTCTGTACTTAACATCGTAGTAATATGTTTCTTGCTCATAATCACGCAAAGTAAAACAGCTTGGAGGAATTCTTGAAATGCTCTCTTAGAATAACTTCCTAGAATGTTAGTCATTTTATTTAAATAGACGATTCTTTGGTTATTTTGAGAAGATCCGAATTAAGATTACGCCTTTTTGAACTTAGGAATATCTGTTGAAACTTTCCTAAAATGAAACGTAACTTTAGATGAACTTATTGCATTGGATATGTTCATTCAATTAAAAGTGTGACTTACAATTACAGTCTCCACTTGTAAAAAGGGCCAATTTTTTTCTGTAATGCAAAAATTGTCTTTTACATCATGTAACTTGTAATGTTGAGTTGACAGCTTAATTGGCTGTAGCGTTGAATAATTGGTCTGGTGACAGCTATTACTAAGAAGATTAAAGATAACAGTGTCTTACAACGATGTTATAATACTGTAATGGCCTTAATTTTATATGTTAATAATATCAAAGATGTCTAAATAATAATATTAAAATTGTATATATCCAAATTAATTGAAAATCAAACTCCACTTTGAAAGAACAGCTGAAATAGCGTATAATTGAAGTAAAAAATTACATCTGTAATTAAAATAAACGCAAAGATAACTGCAATTATAAGATACTATTTTTCGAATATTTTGTGCGAACGTTTTGTAACTATAACATTCGTTATAAAGAATAGATTTTACTTAGGAAAATCTGATAGGTCAATTGATTTCGTTTGCGATAAGGTAATCTTATCATAAAGCATAGCATTACGCACTCCACCTACGTATACCAGAAACTTCACACTGAATTATTCATCTGTGAAAATATTCAAAAATCATTTCATCAAAAAATATTTATCAGATGAAGCGTATAAATCAAATTTGTTTCGTACCTTGTTTGCTGATTGGACATATGTACTAGCAACAATAACATGAAGTATACATCAATGAATCTTATTTGACAATGAATGTGAGTCAATAACGTTCAATGCCTTTGATACTACTTTTCTACCTTATACGTATAATTATAAATCAAAAATCATTCGGAGATATTCATCTGCATAAAAAAATCTAAAGGACACTTCACTAATTTAATCAGAACATCCTTAAATTTGTATATTTTATTTTTACGAAAAGAATTAATCTACTTATAACTTTAAGAGATTTTAAAAATTCTTTTAATTAAAGTTACAGTTTTACTAAAATTTTAATGAATTAGCGCAAGTATTTATATATTTTATGAGGAAGAGCCTAAGAAGAAATTTATCATCAGTAATGTAACGTTAGAGGGCCATTGTCTTTTATATCTATTCATTTCATGAATTTCAGGGAAACTTGATGATTCCGTGATTCCTTAGAGCAACATTTTTTTTTTAAAAAGATTCAACAATTGGAATTATATAATTTTTTTCCAAATTATCATCTCGATTATTCGCTTCGGTATGCTTATTCTTCGCGTTCGCCAACCGCCCTTTCGATTGGTCGCAGACACGAAGTTTTTCCTTTTTTTTTTCTTCCATAAAAATTCCAATGCTCATCCCTTCTACTTCTCTGTTGCGCCCGTACAAAGTCATGACTACATGGGCGCCGATAGAATTTCATCTAAAATGGGAAAGAGTAACAATTTTTCATCACTAATTGCCTTGATATAATTATCTATTATTAGTTGCGAATTTGTAATATTTTAACAAATTTAATTTAACTCTCCAGCTGTATACTGTATATTAAGTATGTAAAGTACAACGAAAGTTTAGGTAAAGATACAAGTATTATTAAAAATGCTGTTTCGCACGGGGTCGCAGTAACCACGCCTTCCCGTGGTGCGATTCCATGACCCACGTGGACAGACATTCTCTTGGAACGCTCACATTTTACA